CCTGTACCTGCAAGCACGGCCAGCCCAAAGTACCCCAAAGAAAGCTGTTGTTTCCCCAGTGGCCAAAGTGATGATATTTTTCCAGGTGAGAAGTGACGATGTAAATGACTAGCAGCTGGCACAAACAGCATCCATCTAGGTAAGNNCTGGTGTACAAGTGTGTGTGTGTGTGCTGCTTCATGTCTGCATGTGCGAGGGCTAGTATTTGCGTGCGGCTGTCTTGGTAAAGGGCTAGTGCACTTAGCTGTGTTGTCGGTGGTGCCAGCAGGATAGCTCAGCGAGTCACGCGCATTTGCCGCAGCTATGTTAGCCCGGAAACAAGGCCGGTTACGGCCGGGACGGCGGGGCTGAGGTTCATAGTGACAACCCGGCTAGAGCAGAGAAGCTAGTCGAGATACTCGACACGTCGGCTTCCTTGACACTCTCCGGTTGCTAGCTCGTGGAGTTTTTGTCGATGCATTCCTTAGCGGGCACGTGTTTATCCTCCGGCTCTCCAAACTTGCGCGAAGGCTGCCCTCATAGCCATCATATAGTCTGTCCGTGCAATGGGCTTCGCCCACTCGCTTGGCCGCCTCTTGCTCTGCCTGATTCTTGGCCCTCCCCTTCGCAGTCTGCCAGGCGACCACGAAACAAGCCGCAAGGGCGCGGTTCGAGAGGTTAGCCTCCGGGTCGATGGAAAACTCCTTAGCCAGGACCTTTTTAAGGTCCTCTTCATCCGTAAAACTCGCCAAAAACTTCGCCACAGAGTCTATCCCGGATATGAACAGCCAGCACTGACTGTGCCTTATCCCCGACACGATGCTGTGTCAGCAAAGGTGCGCTGATCCCTCAGCCACGCGGTCGACATCTTTGAAGAGGGAACAGTTTCTTGAAGGCGAAAGGCTGGGTATCCGGATAGCCGACCGGCCCGCCACCCTCTCTCCCTCTTTCCCCTCTCTTGGAAATCCTCCCCTTGCTCTGCCTGCTGCCTAGCCCCGAAAAAAGAGAACATGGCCTCTTTTCCTATCTCGCTGCGATCGCGGGCGGCTTACGCATGCAATCCTGGCACGTGTGGCTATCCAGGGTCGCACTGGATGATGCACCTTCTTTCCTACCTTTGGCGTCGCATCGGTTCACTGAGGCCCAGGTCTGGTCCACGGCCTCGCCCAAAGCTTCCCCCTTCGCCAAGGACCACTCCTTCTCAGTTTCGAAGTAACTATATAGCGCTTGCGGAGAGCATGCTTATCCAAGGCGTGCCGTATCTAGCCCAATCCATCTTGTCGCCTCGCCGGGAGCTGGCCTCCTCTTGGCTCCTCTTGCCTAGCAGCCCCAGGCAAGCATCTTCTCCAGATCTCGTTCAGAAGGCTAGCCTCCAACTTAGCCCTGAGCTCCTCTATCTCTGTCGCCTCGGGCCTTGCCTGCGACCCGCTCGATCCATCCTTTCCAATCTCCTTGAAGTCGCCCTGCTCTAGCTCGTCCCAGTCGTGGAGCTGTAGCCGTAGCCTCCTCAACTTGGCAGTTAGCCCACCTTCTGCCACTATCCGCTTCTCCCTCACTGCCCTCGCAACGCAGACCAGCTCGCCTAACTCATCGACGCCTACGAACCAGCAGCTCTTCGATAAGTACAAGGATTACCTTCTCGGCGATTACTGGTACAGGCTAAGGACCAATCTGGAGAGTGGCTCACTGGCGCCTGCCTGGACACTGGTACTAAACTACGAGAGGGCTATCTGAAAGCAGGCTTACAAATGGATCGCGACACAAAGGGGATAGGCTTCGCCGACGCACTGGTGACGGCTTGGAAGGATGCGGCTACCAAGGAGAGGCAGTTCACCACCCCTCTCACTCTCTCGCTGTCGGCTAAGCGGCCGCAGCCCTGTGGAACCCGGATGCGCCACACCGGCCGGACCGAAAGGGCCAGGGCAAGGGCGGCAACGGGCTACCATTCCGCTACAACGCCAAGAACAGCTGCAAGGGGATAAGTGCCACTTCAAGCATGTCAAGGCACTCGGCTACGAAGTGCAACCAGAAGGCTACTGGCAACGGGGCAGCGGCAGGGATAGGGCTGCCAGCGCCCAAGCCTACCTCAAGAGGATGGTGGCTACCTTCGAAAAGGATATCCACATCATCCTAATTAGCAAGCCTCGTGGGTCGAGGCACGATCTCAGCAAATCTGGGATAAGACAGCGATACCTCGACCTGATAGAGGCGGGCTACTTCGATATTGATCAGGGTCGAGGCCGGTGCGAAGTTTCGAACACCCTCGTGGCCTACCAAGGCTCACGTCGAGGGAGAGACCTGTTTTTGCTTGGGAGGTGGTTAGGCTGTCGGGGTTAGGTTTCTAGTTCTGGAACGGAAGACGTCGGGGCTATCGTAGAGAGACCGGCACCTGGACCAGACCCATCTGGGGCTACCCAGCACGAGGGCATGCCGACATACGACGTGAAGGGCTTCTGCATGAAATCCACCCAAAAAGAACGAGGCTACTTGCGCCGGCCCCGACTGCCATTGCGGAGAGGGAGATAGGTGGCCAAGGGCATCAAGGACTTCCGACACAGGCGAGCCCCAACCGACCTCGAAGAGACCAGCCTCAGACCAGCCCTGGCTACATCGTAAACGTTGCAAGGAGGCCAGAAACCACGATGGAGCGAAGGACTTTCATGCTGGAGGCAGGCTATGCTTGCCTGGGAGGTGGCCATGAGAGAGGCGAGAGCATGCATCATTCACACCCTGGACCTGGTTTTGGAAGAAGTTGCGCCAGGCAATAGCCTGGCCTGAGGCTGGTCCTACATGTACATAAAGGAAGTAGATGTATATACATACAGGAAGTTTCGAGAAGACCTATGTACAGACATAAATGGTCAAAGAAAGTAGGACAAGAAGGGCAAATGTGCAGGTAGGTAGAAGACCCAAGAAGGAGACGAAAGTCCCGACTTCTGGACGAGAATGACCCCGAGGAGTCCGGAGAGTCCATGCCAGAGGCCGTGGCCCTGATCACTTACCATGCTCGGCAGCGAGCCAGAGGCACTACCGAGCGCGACAAATGCCAAGGACAATGGTGCTGTGCGGAGGATGCGGGCGCGGCACAAGGACGAGGAATGCCCCCTGAACTGTGCCGAGAGTGGTGCGAAGAACGTCGCGATGACCAACGTGATGCCGGCCGATGTCTTCATGCTGAAGCACTGCTCCAGCAACTTGGTTGGGGTGGCAGACACAGCTTGTGCCAGGACGGTGGCGGGATCGCAGTGGCTCCAGTCCTACACGAACGTTTTGGCCGAGATGGGACAGAAGCCAATCCTGCTGAAGGAGTGCGAGGCCTACAAGTTCGGTACCGGGAAGATCCACTACTCGTCGTTCTACGTTATCGTGAGCTTCAAACTTGGAGGCTTCGTGATCCAGGTGAGGACATTACGATGTACAAGGTGGCAAAGCCAATTTAACTTCCGTGCCATCAACCTCAAGGACTACGAGCTTGCAACGACTTCCTCCGGACACCCGGCTATCCCGATCATGCCAGTGTGTTTGTCGCCTGGCGAACCGCCAGATCTACAGGTTGATGACCTTCGACTGCAGCCTTCGGAGCAACACACGGCCGTCTTTGCAGTAGCACACCATGCTTTGCAGGCCCCAAAGTACTCCAGAATCTAATCGACCCCAGCGCCCGAGACATGTTGAATCAGGGTCGCTTGCCCCACGATGCTTACCTTGCTTGGTGAAGTCGTCTATGCGGGGTGGCTTTTGGGTTGGAACTCCAGCTACTTGGGTACGGGTTCACCTGGTTCCACGGAGGTCGATGTTTAATCCATCTACGTGGCGTACAGGTTCAACAGTCCTCAGAGATATGCTGGTCGCTACCATTGGTCAGACGAGAATGACGGAGAGCGTGTGTTGTACAAGTGGCAGATGGGTTGCGTCTACCGTAGATCAGTGGGAGGACGATCAAGTTGAGCGACATGTTCCACTGTCATGGGTGGGCAGAACTGTGTTCTTCAAGCTACAGGCCCCAGGTCCCCTCTTACAACTCCGGCGCCGCAGATGGACAGCTCGGCGCGGATCAGCTTCAGGAGTGCCCGCTTCGTCACCTTCTCGGGCACCGATACGTTCATCTCCCCGGCCTTCTTGATCAGCTCCCGCCAGAGTCAGACCGAGGACACGAACGACTTCGAGGACCCGCCGAAGACGATCACCAGCGGCTATCTGAACTCCTTGGAGGGCGACCTCGACGAGAAGACCAAGATGGAGGCCCAAGCGGACGCGGCGGTGCTTGCGGAGATTGCAGACCTCGAGAGGAAGTTGGCGGTCTTGAAGGACAAGGCAAGGAGCTCGAGGGAGTGACCGGGAGCGCGACAGGGCCTTGTGGTGGAGCCGCGAGGCCAAGCAGGTTCACTGCCGTGGCTCAGTGTGCTGCGCTGAGATCATCACCGAGGACGAGTATGTTCGCGGGATGAGAACTAAGGTTACCAACTACATCGAGGAGCGCATCAACAAGATCGACTTTGCAGCCACGGCAGAGAACTACACGTATGAGCACGACATGCGCAACGACCACTTGTGGAACAATCCCTTCTACTGTTTTTCAATCTGGTGGAGGGAATGGCCGACTTCGTGACGATAACTGCCGTCCTTTGCCACTACGCCGCGGTGACGTCAACTATTAACTGGGAGGACTTCTCCTTCACGAACTGCCAAGCCATCCTAGGGGGCGCAACCCACACAAGCGGGAAGCCAGCAATGAGAGCAGTTCAACATGGAGAAGGCGACTCCGACGACCAGATCTACGTGACCTGCGGACTCTTCACACACGGGGGAGTCCATGGCTTGACCCGAGCATCAAAGGACAACGACGCTGTACTTCGCTTCCTCAACGACTTCAATGACTTCAACAAGCACCACCTTGGAGAAGATGCCACGTGGACTTCCGTGTCCGTTACCAAGAACATCGGCGTCAACGTCCACCGGTACTCCAACAACCACAAGGGGTCCCTGAACTGCTCGACGACCGTCGGACAAGACAGCGGAGGAGATCTGTGGTTGGAAGAAGACATAGACGAAGACCAAGTACGTGAAGGCCACGTTGTCTGGAAAAGGGACAGGACCAATGCATGGGTCCCGGGCCGCTACTACCCCACCAAGGAGCGCGATCCTTTCCGGCGACACTCTTCGGCAAAATGGACCGTTCCAGAGCTCAAGAAGTTTCTGAGGGGAGCAGGCTTCCCTCTTCCACGTCTACCTGCGGCAGCCAGAACAAGCGAACGAACCCCAAGGCGAAGAAGAGCACGCGCAACAACATCATGAATGCCGCAGGCAAGATCAGCGTGCTCATGGCTACCTTCCTGGCCACGGCGAGCACGTTCCTTGGCGAGGTCTACGAAAAGGGCACGGCCAACGACTCCATCGTGATGATCGAGATCGGAGGCTTAGAGCACCATCGAGGCGACGGAGTTGAGCAAGACGGTGATCGAACCCATGATGTGGAATGACTTCTTGGACCCCGAGGTGCAAGAGAGTGCCCACCGCTTTGTTTGCGGAGCTTCACCACGAGAACTGCAGGTACATGTGGACGAAATGCCATGCCGAGCTGAGCTGGCAGTCAAGGCCCTGATTCAGGAGCAAATCAATGGCGGAGGAGATGTAGTACTACGCGATGGATGTAGCTGTTGACTTCCGTGACTATGTCGAGTACGAGAGCAAAGACGACAAGGACGGATGGATAGTACTGAGCAAACCAAAGCCTGAGACGAGAACCATGAATGGAGGACACCGACCTCACCCGGTCTGTGTGGTGAATGCCGGGGGGCACGGCAAGGAAGTTCCCATCAAGATGGACGGGAGCGGGATCACCTTCGAGGACAGCGTGGTGAAGATGGTTCAGTCTTCTTTGTGGCGCCTACGCCAAAATTTGGGGCATCCTCAAGGAGAAGATCTGTTGTCGCCACAACCGGCGAGCCCACGTGATCAAGTCTGTGAAGGGCATGAAGTGTGGGGCGTGTGAGGCCACAAAGCACGCCCCACGACCCTACGGAGGCTTCTGCACTTCAACTCGTGCATCGGCTTTACCTCATCTACTGCCACGACATTAACGACAACAAGCACGCTTTCCTCACAATGGTGGATTGGGCGACCACCTACCAGGTCGCTATCAAGCTGGAGTCCGAGGCGGCTTTAATGCACACATTGGTTGAACGCTTTTGGACCACCCACGTCGGTGTCTTTGGACTTGGGCGGCAAAGTGCAAGCTGGACTTGGCCGACTCTGTGACTGACACAGCATCAAGATCAAAGACGTTGCTGAGCAGGCCAAGTGGCAGGGAGGAGTCACAGAAAGACAAATCGGGTGCTTCAAGGGCATATGGGAGCGCGTGATCCACGAGATGAACATCGACGAGGACGAGGCCGAGCTCGCGGCAACTTTGGTGTAATGTGGACATGGCCCTGTCCATGGGTTCTCGGCCGCTCGCCGCAGACACCAGAAACATCTACGTGGGACCTCACCAAGGACGCCAAGTTCCAACGAGCCACGGCGATAAGGACGAGTGCCCGGATAGCGTTGCACCAAGCCCAAGGAGATGAGCGACTTCGCCGCGGACTACTACAACGAGCTAGAACGATCAAGGCCGTCTACGAGATCCAAAACCCAAAACCCCGTCCACTATTGGAACCAGCCCAAAGATCGGAGGAGAGCCCGCTGGACTGGACCGGCGGGCATTGTCGGCAAACAAGGCTGGGTGTCACAAGGGGGACGGTGCAGGCTGACGGCACCTGAACACCTACGCTGTGCTGGCCCAGAAGCGCTTGGCGATGGACCCGGGCGACCCAGAGTCTTCGAAGAGACTGTCGGCAACGACTACCGCGAGGCCCTCAACAGAGCGACCGACGGCGAGGACCACGTCTCCGACTACGAGCCTTCTATCTCTTCAAGCAGGCCGCGAAAGTTCAGTGGGATGAACATGTGTCCTACGATGCCTTCGAGCCGCTCTCGCACGAGGACTCCCAAAAGGTCAGGATTTCTGTTCCAGCCCAGCGCATACTTCCTTGCAGGTGGGCCTATAGAGACAAGAATTGGGCCTCCCGAAAGGCGACCGAAGCCGGCCAAGGTCCGGGTGCAGTTGGAGACGCAAGAGCCGGTTCGTCATAGGAGGGCATCGAGATCCAGACCTGGGCGTCGAGGACCTAAGCACGGATGCCCCGACGCTTTCCAGGGCAGGCTTCATGTGCATGACGCAGCTCCTCGCGGACGGCCTGAATGAGACCGACAAATGGATGGCCGCAGCCGGGGACATCCAGTGTGCCTTCCTGACGGGAGGGTATTTGGCAAGAGGCGAAGATCAAAATCTACATCAGCCACGTACAGGTTTCCCAGGCTTGCTGCCCGGCCAACTGGTGCGCATCAAGAAGAACATCTTCGGTTTGGCCACTTCTCCTCACGAGTGGTGGCAAGATCTACAAGGCGGAATCAAGAGGACCGAGGTGTTGTACGCTGGCGATTGCTACATGCTTGATTAGTGCCCACTCGATCCGTGCATCTTCACGCTGAGGAAGTTCCTGCAGGACAAGTGCACCGGGAAGCCGATAGCCTACGTCGGCAGCCACGTTGACGACATCCTCATCGTGGCTGGGACAGACGTCAACAAGCTCGTTCAACAAGCTTTGTCGAAGACCTTCCCATAGAGAAATGGGAGGAAGACCACTTCGACTACATCGGGAGCGAGATCATCAGTGGCAAGGACGAGGTGATCGTCACCCAGAAGAAGTACGCGGAGACCCGCTTGTTCTCCTTGATGGAGATCCCTAAGAGGATCAACGAAGAGGATCTGGCAGGCCAGACTTGGTCTCGGACAATCAGTCCTTGATAGGGGCACTGTCTTGGCTTTCAGCACAAACCCGGCCGGATTTGACATGCAGTGTCAGTATGGCGCAACAGTTGCAGAAGGCCCCGACGATCGCCGACGTGAAGTTCACCAACGTCGTCTCGCTCAGGGCCATGGAGTATAAGGACGAAGTTGAAGGCCTGAGATTCAGACCCATCCCTTAAGGAGACCTTCGGCATAATCGTATACCACGACGCTGCGTGGCCAGCGCCGTGTCTGACTACGAGGCCGGCCTACAGAAGGAGGGTCTTTTTGGAGGCGAAGCGGCTCAACTCGAAGGTCGCCTTACAGCTCGGAGCCCTGGTTCTCTTTGCAGACATGAAGTCTGTGAAAGGAGAAAGGGGAAACTTCTCGATCGCAGACTGGCGGTCCAGAGCGGGGCAGCGAGTATGCTGCTCCACGTTTGGAGCAGAGACCCAAGCTTGCGTGGAGGGCCTTGAAGGACGCCAATATATGCGAGCCTTTATCGAGACGCTCAAGGACGGCACCCTCAAGCGCGTGGAGGAAGGAGAGGCGCCAATTTTGTGCCCCTCGGATTGCAGATCGCTCTCACGGATAGAAGACTGGCCATCGATTTGGCAGCACTGAGACAGGGCTTGAAGAGTGAGCGTTGGTCTGCGAAGTTGCCCCTAGGGTGGGTCCCGAGCGGCCTAGAGCTGGTGGGAAGCCCAAAGGGCAAGTCTAGCCGTTCCCAGTGGTCTGTCCGAAACCGGCAGAGTCAGTAAGAACTTTGAGAAAGGGAGAACCAGTGCGGAGCACAAAGAATGTGATGTCTGCTATACTTACCGTCCCAGCATTTGGTACAGTCATTGACCCAAGAGCTCCATATGTCGTGGCCTACCTATTTCGAATTAGATAGTAAACCCAGCCACATCTAAGGGTAGAGCACGTTCCTTCCGAACCTGCCCGGCTGTATCGCCCTCGTGGCTGAAGGCTTGCTCTCCAGTCAGTCCGGACTGTCCGGATTCACTGCATTTGCGTTCTTAGGACGACCTGGTCTCTGTTTGCAGGTGTTCTGCGCGTGGGCATTGCAATAAACGTTTAGTATTAGGCGTGCTCGCGTGGCGCATGTGGTGCTTAGGCGAGTTTGTGCGGTTGTTATTCCATGCATTTTTGGCCATGTTTGCTCTGCATGTTGTGCTTAGGCTTACATGTGCTTGCACGATTGTTGTGCCAAGCAACAAGAGAAGGATTTTGAACTGGATATTTTTTGGATATTTTGAGAGTCGTTCTTGAGGGGGCGCTGCCAACTCGAGTTTATGAGGCGCTTCATGATCCAAGCGTCCTTCCACTGTAACCCCCGAACCAGCGCCGCCCCTGAAAGCAGAGCTGCCTGCTCAACAGCTCGGCCCTTCTAGGGCAAAAGGTGCAAAGACGCATGGTAAAATCAAACCCGAAGCCCCAACCCCATGTCCAAGAACTACCGAAACACCACCGAGGATGGCTCTTTGACGGAAGATGGCGTGTTGGAGCCTTACATCCGAGCTCGTGTCCACCTGTGCATTTACCCGATTGCCGACTCACGTGTTGTCGGGAATTTTTGTCGGGCTTGCAAATGTTTAGGTCTAGTCTAGGGTTGCGGGTTCATTGGGGGGCGGGTCCGCAGGCCTTCTTCACAAGTGGTGTAAAGCTGAAAGTTGCGGGAAGCTCTCCAAGGGCCCACCCGAGCTTGTAAGAATTAACACGAAATTCAATCCGGATCTTGATTGAAGGCTGCCCTGACAGGGAATGGTTAAACTAAGTTGTAATCGTCAGACAGGCGGATATCCTATAAAGTTGTCTGGTTCAACTAAGAGTGAGGGGGTGTCTGCATTTTTTCTCGAACAAAAAACCCTTATGTGCCCAGAAACCCAACTCATTTGCTGCTTCCCAGTCTAACTGGAGTCGGTTGCCCGAAAAGTAGTTTGTGCGAAGAGACGTTCGATTGTGGTCCAGCAAGCCGAGCCTTGGTTGTTGAGAGTTGGATTCGCAACATGAAACATGCACATGCAGGCGAGTGGCGGTTGTATTGTTGGCATGTACAAGCTGACGTGGCATTGCAGCATAAAGTCAAACATGTCGGAATTGGTTTCGCGAGGCAATGTCAGACTGATGTCACCCCCGCGGATCCGAGCTTTGAGGAAGCACTGTTTCATACACTGCCAACATGCACTGAAGAAGGGCATCAAACGGGACAGCCTGACCAGCCTATCACGTTGCGATGATATTGTTGATTTTCTACCACCTGCTTGACTTTGCAGAGCAGTCCTCCTCCCATGTTCCACTAAACCCTTAACCCTCCACCCTAAACATCGGTGACCACTTCCAACCACCTTGAAAGGTTGC